TTGTTATGTGACATTGACTTATATTTCATAAGGGTTATTTTTACAAATTTCTACAATATTTTGATTAAAGATATTTATATCATTTACGTTACTATATATTGTATTAAATTAAAGAGAATATAAACTGATAGTCATTCCTAACATAATGGATTAATTCATTAACACGATCCAATGGTTACCTACCCAAACCTTACTTACATTCTGAAACGTCAAGATTTGAAGAAAATTTCTAGTGATTAAACCATTTTTTCATTACGTCATTATTAATTGATAGCACAATAAAATACAGATATTGTTAATTTTGCAAAAAAAATGAAGTGGTTTGAAGGTAGTATCAATGAAGCAGTGGCAACCTCAAAATCCAGGAAAGCAATTTTTGTCGTTTTTATCGAAGGTATATACATATTTGTAATGTTAGGTTAAGTTATTGTTCAATCTATTATTATATATTTATCATTAATATTAACTTGTATTTATGATTAGAAACATTTTAAAAACTTTTCTTTTTTTATATTTTCTCTTTTGATAATTATGTTTGCATGATTTATTATTATAAAATAAATAATCTTGTAATCCATATTTATAGGAAAAGATGATACATCTGCACAAGTTGCCGAAGCAATCAATGCTACAGAAGTTTCTTGTCGCTTGGAACAAGAACATTTTGTAGCAATACGATTAGAAAGTGGATCTGAGACTTACAGATTTTTTGCCCAAATTTGTATCCTTTATTATAATGATTATTAAAAAGCTTTGATTTATATATATATATATATGTGTGTATGTATTTTATATATATATATATATGTATGCATGAGTTATTCATAGAATTCTACATAGTACAAAAAAATTTTAATAAAATTATTTTCCTAAGAGTCATTCACTAGATCAATTGGTGCCTGTGCCATCTTTATTCTTTATTGGTGAAAATGGTACACCTTTGGAAATTATTGCTGGTAGCACAACAGCAAGTGATTTAGCTACTAAAATTGATTTAGTCTTAACAAAAGTAGGAAAGAATAAAAATGCATCTATCAATTTGATAGATGCAGAACAAAAAGCTGCTGAAACCAGTATTAATTCTAATGTAAAGATTGAAGAAGATAAAAAAGATGATAACGTAGTAGAATCAAATATAGAAGTACCATTAGCTCAATCTACACCAGAAAATGAAAGTAATAATATAATTAAAGATGATATTAAAGAAGAACCATCTACAAGTTTAAAAGAGCCATCAAAATCAGTTAATGAAACAAAGGAAACATCTACTAAAGAATTAACAGCAGAAGTATGAGTTATTAAAAGAATTATTTTGGAATTTTTCATTTAAACATTTATGTTAATTAAAAATATTAAAACATTATATATCCTTAGGAAAAAAGAGCAAGAGCGCAACAGTTAATAATGTTGCAAAATAAACAACGTATAGAAGAGGAAGAAAGAAAAGAAAGAGAAAGGGAAATAGAGCGTCGCAAAATTGGCCGTGACGTTCAAAAATTACGACAAAAGCAACAAGATTTAGAAATGAAACAAGCCTATGAGGAAAGAATGAGGGAAAAAGCTGCTGATGCAGCAGCTAGAGAAAAAGTTTTACAACAAATTGCTCAAGATAAATTAGAAAGAAAACAAAAGGAACTAGTAATGCAACAGGTGTGTATAATTTTCTTACGAAAAAGAACTCGTTAAATTTATCTTTTTATATATCGATAAAATATAATTTTACGAAACGTAGCAACATGTTCAACAACAACCTGAGTCATCAGAACCATCTGAGCCATCAATATCAACGGCAACTGTCAGTAGAATACAATTTCGGTTGCCATCAGGCAATCCTTACATCGCACAATTTGAACCAACAAATACTTTACGCGATTTGCGTACTTACGTTGTTCAGAATATTAATTTACCATTCCGTCAATTTGCGATGTCTACCTCTTTCCCTAGACGGGAATTAATGCCTGAGGACGATGATAAAACCCTTTTAGAATTGGAATTAGTTCCTACAGCGGTTATCTTAATCCTGCCTTTGAAAAACGTAATTTCAATTTCAATCGATAAAATATTTAAATTTTTATCATATATATAATATTCTTTATTGTCTCGATTTATAATTTCAGTCGAACGTGACAACTACCGTGACATCTACACAAGATGTTGGTATCGTACCACGACTCGTATGGTCAACTTTTGCAATTTTCACAGCTGTGTACTATTACATAATAGGTTATTTTAGCGGAGGTATACGAAAAAATACATCGAAGCAATCAAGCAATGCTATTGAAAAGAAGGATAGTAACAATTCAGGGGGATCAATTTCACCAAACATTCAGAATTTTGCCAGTACATCAGGGTAAGTTTCACATTTATAAAAATATTTACATAAATGTAATATGATTGCAAACATTTAATATAATTATTAAATTTAGTTTAGTTAGAAGGTATTTGGGTAATCAAGGAAGTACAACCATAAAAACTGAAGGGAATATACATAGACTTCAATCAGGTGGGGATGATAACGATGAAAATAATACATGGAATGGTAATTCAACGCAACAAATGTAGATTATTATAAATCAATAAAGTTTTAACAGGCTTTACTATTTCACTAATCTTAGATATGCAACAGAAATCTTCGATTGAAAATCGAATTATTTTGTTAAACTTTTATACCTTTCTGTTCTCTATTGCATTACAATCGAGTGTCATGTTATTACTACCATAATTATGATGATATGCTCGAGTAACGAACCATTTTATTTAAAGAAAAAGTTTATTTGTGTTGTACGTTCACTGAATATTTAATTTTTTATAATCTAATATCACCTTATTAGATCTTATAACTTACTTTAATAAGTTACAAAGAATATAAGGACCAAAAATTACGATACAACAGATAAACTCGAATACACATCCCTATATTCGTATAGAATATCAAAGATTTTGTTAGTATATATGTTTTGAGATTTCTTATGAAATAAAAATTATTTTGTCATATCACATTAATCAACGTTATGATATATTTTTGGGTAACAAGAATTGTACTAAGAATAGCAACGATGTTATGTTTTATTTTATGATAAAATGCAAGATGTATCAATTAGAAAGCTTTTATTCTGTTAAGATACGAATAAAAAAAAATAATATATATATATATATATAAAAACATCTACACAAATTGTGAGTTTTTATTCTCAACCCGTTAAATACCTTTAGATTATTATTCCGCGATTCCCCGAAACGTATAGTTAATGGCGTTAAATAGTTAGGTAAAATGATACACGACAATTTAATACAACGGTGAGAACATGGAATCGTGACGCGTGATTTTTTGTCTAGCGAAACACGATTCCAAAAATATGTTCAAGGCAAAGGAAAATAAATGCCAGAAAAATATCTCTACCGTCTTGTTCTGCGGTTGACACGTTCGAACGAACCGATAATTTACATGTTTCCTACCTTAGTGCTGTCGATTGTGGCACCAATTAAGCGTAAAATTAACAAACATTTTGGCTGACTTGTTCGTTTAAAAGTGTCAGCTTTCTGGCAACGTAACATATTGCAGAACCTGCGAGAGGAGTGTCGTTCGGGTAACACGATCTTACAGACACACCTACTCGTCCTTTCAACAACTTATTATCTGCCATGTTTGGTCGTAACGTATTCATTAATTTTAAAAGTATAAAAAAATTTAATCTAAAAAGTATAAAATTTGAAGTTTTATTTTATTCTTATCCTTTTTTTCATTCCGTAAAGAAAAATTAATACAAGAGAAATATGATAGATATAAATATATTTGGATCAGAATTTAGCTGAAAGCAATTCTGTTCCTGTTCCTGATTTATTCAGAAGAATCACAAGTTGGCTGGTATAAGTTTGAAACAAATTTCTGCAATGTATATTGCTAGTTCGTATAATCGCAGCCAAGTTTCACATCTGTCAACAATTCTTGTATCATTTTATCATCTCTATCATCGTCTCCCTTTAATACATGCAATTGTGCGTTTAATAATCTTGTTAAATGTATGAATGATTGTATATCATTCTCGTAATACAAATGATAAACTTATCATAGAATTTTATATAAATTCATAAAGTCGATGTACACCTTTGACGAATCATTACGTACTATATTTTATAGCATTATAACGATCATACTTAATATTTCGTATTTATTATATGCATTTGTTGCTTCGATATTTTTTCCACCACTGTATCGATCAATTATTAAAAAGAAATTAATCGTGTTGACTTTTTAAGTTTAAGTTTCATCCGATAAGAAATTCTTACAAGTATATTCGATATAAACGCAACAGATTGAAAATTCATATCAAATTGCATTCGTCTTCTGTCAAGACAATTATTAAATAGCATTTCACGGCGGTGACAGAAATTTATGGATACCTCATTACCACCGTTTAGTGACTGCTACCGTCTCGTTGTACGAGATCATTAGGGGCTCCTTCCAGAAACGCACGTGCTTGCCAAGAACCGCCCAAACTTATTCAAGATTGGTTGGGAATACAGTGACGTCATGAGCACGTGGCTTTTCGACACCGCCTCGAAGAACGAAGAATTTGACTTGGTTGCCAAAAAAAAATATTGTTGGACATCGCGAGCAACCCCGACAATCAGTCGTTGGTTTCAACTCTAATCCCGCGAACGGATCACAGAGTATCTATGAATGGTTTAAATCGATTTCATAGTTGCAACTTCATCGATCAATATTGTTCCATCTTTCATTCAATAAAACTAAAAATGTTTCATTAATTATACATGTAAATTGAAGTTGAGAGGCAACGTTCAAACAGGTAGTGTTTGTGATGCGATAGTGATAATAGTGGAGATACGTGCAGTGAATTTGAAAAGATTTAGAGAAACATTAGATATATATACATATATCTTGAAAGTATTGAAGAGGATATCTAATCGATCGTTCTACCGATTGGTGATAAGTAGTATAGATAATAGTATTAAACATTTAAGAACGGCGAGGATTCAGGATGTCGGAGGAACGCGTGAAAACGACAGAAATCGGCAAAGATTCGATCAAATTGGTCGAAAATCCAAAAGTATGCTCCTTCAGTATCGAAAGTCTTTTAGCGCCCAGCAAGAATCCCGTTAAAAAGGAAATTTGCTTGTCTATTCAAACCGAAACGTATTTGCATGGTCATGAATGTAAGTGTATACAATTTCTTTCTCATTATGCAAAAATTAGACGAGAAAATTAGGAAATAAAATTCGTTTAAACAGCAAATGATTCGGAGGGACGGAAACTGGTAGCGCCAGATTCGTCCATGTCGATGATAGAGGAAATCGAGTTCGACGATGCCGATATGGTTTGCTCCACATCCCCCGAACCTGAAATGTGTTATGGTAAGTTAAATCGAATAATTTTTAAAATTGATTAAAAATTATTACAATGAAATTGTTCATTAATTTATAATGAAATTATTCTGAAAAGACATTTTGAAAAATACTCATTGACGATCCTATTAAAAAGAGAAAGATCGATTATTATTGATAACTAAAACATAAAACATATCTATTTCTAAACGAATCGGTAAACATCGAGAAATTAAAGATAAAATGACGTTTACGATATTCAATCTAATGACAGACTCTGTTTCGTGAGATTATACGGTGTAACTGAACAAATTATACAGGTGCCGCACACTTGTGTTTGCTTTGTCAAATTACTTGGTTAATAAAGGTATATCGAGTGAAAACACGGAGACAAATGCACGAATATTTTAATTCGCAAACAATCGAGTTATTTCAGTTGAAAGATTGCTATTTAAGACATATCGCGTGTGTTTATATTTTCTCAAACTGTACGATTTGATGAAGATATCTCGATTGTACGGCAGATAGATAAATATGAAATTAGCACTAAAATATAAATCGTTTGATATTTTTTTAAAATCCTAATCATTCAGTCTGTTAACTATCCGTTTAAATTTAATTGCTTCTCATTATCTAGAAACTTCTCGTTAAATTCCGAGTAAATAATCAATAAAACATGTCGTAAGATCGTGTGACAACGTACGACGACGCAAATATTCCAATGCCAACACGAAAGACCAAGATTGCATACTTTGTATGTTTCAACTTCGCGGTTATTACACATTGTGTAATAATGGGTAATTGTTTCCACTTAATTCGGATATTGTTACCAGCTTGAAAGGGAGTAATTGTTACAGAATCCACATGCCTCCTTCACGTGGTAACAAATTCGTAAGTTTGCGCGGAGGACCGTTACCCGTGAGTTTGATCCATTACTTCCTGCAGGGTCCACGCCCACTCAATGTTCCTGCTTCTCGTCCACTATTTATCTGTCTCCTGCTAATTCTGCCATGGAAATGCAGCAGCAAAATATACCTTCGTGTCTCTATAAAACGAAAAGAAAAAAAAAAGTATTAGAATCAATTAACGTTCGATGATATCTAATCTTGATTCGATTCCCATTTTCAGAAAGAATTTTCTATTTATTCATAAGAAAATCTTGATTTATATTCACTTCTCAACTTACTTGTCAATTGCTTATATGCACAAGAAACAAATTATTGCGATAAATTACGTATTTATAATTAGACATAAAATCATAGATCAACGCGTATAGAAATTCTTACTAAAATCGCTCATTTTGTCATCATAATGCCAAGTATGATGTACAAAGAGTTATCGATAGTTGGCTCAACTCGATTCCATTTTACAAAGGGAGTCTTAGATTCTCGACGACTAATTTTCACCAAGGACCCTTGTCTCGCGTGATTTACACAACGTAATGGTCACCGCGATAAATTCGGGATCTAAGGAAAGGACAATTCTCGTTTGCGCCATGCGTTTGGACTGAGATATGTGAGACGTCGCGTCCAACTACAAAGCCGTCAACGCAACGCGTAAATCTCTACGAAAACTGCTTTATGAACGAACAAAATCGTTTAAAAAAAAAATCTTCTTCTTTTATCATAGATGGTCTTTTCTATTCTTTAATAAATTTTCTCGGTTTAATTTTAATTTTAATAATTTTCATAACTTCGTAAATAATACATCATGCATCTACTTAACGCATAACGTATTATCTTCATTGATCATCAATCTTAGAATTGTCTAATTGATAATATAATATATGCTATATCCTCTGTTGAAATCTCTACATCTTGATCTTTGATTCTAGTCACTAATCTCTCAGAATATCTATTCTAGATGATAACAAAAGATCTAGTAATCTGTCTATTGTCTCAAGAGTCCAATCGGTACAACTTATGCGAATGTATTAATTATCTTGCTGGTTGGCCACAAATGTGAAATCGTGCAACGCCGAACGAATGAAAATTAGCCATGGTTTATCGCGCATTTCTACTCGTGCTCTCGCCATTCATCACCGAATAATTAGGAGACAAGTTCACCGTGGCTCGCGGCAATTAGGTAAACTAGAGGGCGTGGTGTTCTATTTCGGCAAAGCTCGCGGTGCTCCTCGCCGGCTTCCACCGCACGCTTCTTCACGTTTTAAGCTCCTTTTTGCACCGTTTCCTTCCACGCCAATCCTTTCTTCCCTTTTCTTCTTCTTCTTCTTCTTCTTCTTCTTCTTCTTCTTCCTCCTCTTCGTGGAGCTCGTTCGTCAATGCAACCGAGTCAGAAAGTCGACGACAAATGAGCCGCGTGAGAGAGCGGCACTCTCCGAAAATATTTTCCTCTTCCGCTCGAACGTTCAGATTTTTTTTCCTGTAAATAGCATTATCTTTAAAAAAATATTTGTTGGACAAACATCGTCTAGAAAAAAAATCTCTACGATTTTTTACAGGGAAAAAAGTCAGATGGATTTTTAATCCTTTTCCAGTTTACATTTACAATTGTTCACAGATATTATACTAATGAAACTGTTCAAATGTAAACACGTGCAACTTGTACAGTTTGATATTATTATCTGGGCATACTGTTTCCCAGCATCCAAGTTGGAATCCTTCCTGAATTTACACGTGCAGAAGCGTGCACGTCGCACGACGTGGTTCCACGCCGAGTGAATTAGAGGCGGTACAGTTTTAGCCGACGATTCTGTAGTACGGGGCTGAAGAGAAGTCTCGAAAAACGCGCGAGAAACGCGACAATTACGTCGCCATCTGACAATTAGTAGCCGGTAAACGACAGTCCGCGGTCCCTGTAACCAGGCCGCAAATACTTTTTTCGAGATATTTATTGCACCTCGGACTGCAAGGGTCGACCCAACCGATCCATTCTTCCTCGTAAACGAGGAAGGTTTTGTCATCGATTTATCGACGCGAAAATAACCGATTCTCTTCAGGTTTGACATCATGATAGACGAGTTCTTCTTATCTATACGAAATTCTTCTTCAAACAAACTCGACACACGAGATACTTATCACAACAGAGAACTTGATTTAATTACACAATGTGTTTTAATATTAATCCTAATATTAAAACTGTCTTTAGTTTATAGCTTTGTACGCTCTTCATTATTCCAATAGGTGGTAAAATAGGATGGAGAGTTTGTGGGTGACACGAATGGTATCGCTGTGTCGGTAGTATACTTTTTCCTTCAGAGTAGCAGACGTACATATATTCAACGATGAAGCGTCGTGCTGCCATGGTTTTTCGTCGGATGACGAATGGGCAGATAATTAGAAGATGATCCCCGCTGGTTAGAACGCGGCCCTGTTACCAGTCGACTAAAAGAGACCCCAAAGACATTCCTCATGGGCGAGGCGCGACGTCTTGTACTGGCGGCTTGTAAGCTCGGGATAAATATAAATATAAACAACTTCGATGGAGGAAAAAAGTAACGAGATTGATGAGGAAAGAAATCTTAAAGGGGTAATTGGATCTGTTTAAGTTGAAAAAAAAAAAACCGGCATTCCTGCACTGTATATCTCTTTAAAGATCTCTTTAATTTAAAAGCAATTAAAATGAGAACAAAGTACGTTACGCGGAGAACACCGATGATAAAACATCAGTTTCATCATTAATGATAGATCATTGTCATTATGCTCGGTTGTTTAAAAAGTTGCATTTATTTCTGATCAACATTGAATGTAATGTTATAGTTTATAATTTGCGGCAGTCTACTGTTTAATCTCACATAAGATATGTGTTATTAGATCTCATTTAATCACTGCGTGTTTTCATTCCACTTAATCATGATGAGGTAACATGACTAGCGTCGCGCAATTATTCGATAATTACACGATAAGGAAATGTTGTTTAATTATCATTTCTCGCCGATGTATAACACGATATATATGGAAAGTGTGTAATCTTTTTCTTAATGTTACTAGAGGCGTGCACTAGCAGCAGCGGTGCCAATTCAACGACAAGTGTGGATAGAGAGGTTCAAGAAAAAAGTGACAGCGTCATTAGCGATGACGAAAGAAAGAAGAGGCCTCGCACTGCGTTCACAGCGGCGCAAATTAAATCATTGGAAGCGGAATTCGAGAGGAACAAATACCTGAGCGTGACAAAGAGGTTGCAGCTCAGTAAAAGTTTAAAGCTGACTGAAACTCAGGTACATATCGTATCATAATTTATATCGTTATTCGTAGGGAACGATGAAAGAACGAATATCGTTTGTTTGTAGGCATCTTTTTTTTGTAGACGAGAGAAATTGTATCATTATATTTCGTAATAATGAGAAGAAGCGGAGCTAAGTAAGATTTCTTTGTGATTAAATGGAAACACATTTCGCGGAAGTTGTTTCGAACAAGATGCACTGCACACAATAAATTGCGACAACGTCTGCGACTTCCGTAGGTTAGGGCACCTGAAATAGTTTAAGTTCCTTGTACCCTGTGTTCCCTCAAAATCAACCGAGCGCTGAATTATGGCTTCAAAGGCTACCATATGTGTAGGCGCCAGATCGTGGCGCCATGGGGGAAGATCGCCCTTTAGGACCAATTAGCACTTATACGCCCTTTCTTCTCGCAAGGAGGAGACGAGAACGCAAAATGTTCGTTTCTTCTTTTCGCGGAAATCTTCAATTAATCATTACACAGGATAAATTACATTTTGCTTAGAAATTCGATTTTATGAATCTTTGTCGCCACGTTCGAATAACATTTCATTTTAGTCACTTTTCCAAGTAGTTTGGTTTCTAGTTTCTAATATTATCCTTGCAATCTCAAGAAGTACTCAACGACGATTTAGATAATTCTTGCAACAAAGTTGTAGAATGGATAGGGACAGTTACATAATTCTCCTATTTACTTTACAGTAACAGCAACCAGGCTTGATATTGCATCGCTTTAAACTAATTAATTTATGATAATGCCTTTAGATATTTTCTGTTTGGCCAAGTAATGTTGCCGACCAGTAATGTTGCAAGCTCTAATAATTGCCACCAAAGTGGTAGAAATATCGCGGGATAGCCGTGAACGGAGCAGACAATTATCATAGCAAAAGGAAGGATGATCAGACGACGGATCAGAGAAGAAGGAGACGTGTCGTGGTGCAGACATAACTGTCACAATATTTCTCGTAGTTAACGAGCCAGCTCCGGGAGTCCCCTTCTTCTAACTCTGCTGCGTGCTCCGATTCGTGCTTGTGTTTCCAGCATGCCATAAGAACGAAGCATCTCGGGACAACGGATGCTTCGAGGCGACGGACCGAAGAGGCGTCGATTTTTTAATTAGGATATATTACTGCTTTGAACGTTCTGAATCCGGTTTAGGAGTTCCCCTTCAGAAAATTCTGTAGAAATTGTGTCCAAGATGCTGACATCATTTTTTCCCTGCATTGCTTCACGTGTTTTATCTTTTTCTCAGGCTTCGTGTGAAATATTTAATCTTCTGTTCCTTGGGTTCGTGATATTCTACGAGGAATGATTCATGCAATTATTTGACGCAAAAGTTTTATATTTTATAAATTTAAAGACGTTAAAAAAATAGTAGCTTGCAAAGCTTACAATTTCATATGCATCGGAGTAGAGCTTTGCAAGCGCCTCGGTAGCGCAGTAGGCAGCGCGTAAGTCTCATAATCTTAAGGTCGTGAGTTCGATCCTCACCCGGGGCAAATAATTTTTGATTTCAATCGGAAGAAACTATTATTTAGCTATAATCTTGATATATTATACATTGTAGCTTATCTTATCCTCTTGATCCTCTTATTATTATCATATTTACAATTTTTTCATGTAGATCTCCTTCACTTTACTCGTTAAATTTAACACTACAAATGGATATTATTTGCTAAAACATTTTGTATTTGTTAATATATTTTTATACCAATTCTTGTGTTCACAGATTAAAATTTGGTTTCAAAATAGACGTACAAAATGGAAAAGAAAATACACAAATGATGTGGAGCTCTTGGCCCAACAATATTATTCCAGTTTAGGAATTCCTGCACCACGGCCAATTTTTGTCGAGGATCGTCTTTGGTAAATATTTATTTTCAAAAAATTTAATTTCATTTAAAAATAATAATTTTTTATTTTCTTATCTACCTTAACAGGTTTTTTAATTATCCAACGCAATTACAACCAGGAGCACCAATTTTTCCACAGCATTTAGCAACTGTTCCTTTGCCATCAGCTTTACCCATTGTACAACCATTACCAAGTAACATAACGATGGGTCAGACTTCAATTTTTCAAAATATCTCCGCAAGTAGTCCGACATATCATTTAAGCCAAAGATTAGACTTTAGGCATCAAAATTCTTAGGTATAAAAAAATCTAATTCAGTCGTATTAAAGGACTTCATTTCTAATTATAGAATCCTTCAAATTCACGATATGTGATACGTATTTTTGAAAATTTTAAAACATAAAGAGCAATTAAGCAATTATTCATTAATTTTTTTTATTACTTTAATAAATAAATAATGTTATAATAACACCAAATATCATTTTGATTTCAAAAAATTGTTGAAATCTTAAATTATAAAAAATAAAAATATTTATATAATATGCATGTAAAAAAAGAACAAAATATATCAACATTACTTTCGCATTTATTATATTAGATAAATATAATATATTTATTTATCTATAATATTTATTATAGATAAATATATATAATAAATAATTTTTATAACAATCTCTTGTTTTTAATGAAAAACTAACAAATATATTTTTATCTATAAATGATATATTATATATTTTTAAGATAATAATAAATAGTGTAATTCCTTGAATCTTATTAAATATGTAAGTTATTAAATTATTTATTACCTGTACAATAAATAAAAATATAAAAAAATGATATAAATACAATATTTCAACAATGACTTTATTACAGAGCTGAAGGAGACAAAACTTTACTGACACCCAAAATTTTTTCATCATGAGCTGCTTGATCTTGTATAATTTTAGCATATTTCTCATTGTCTTGTAAATCTTCTTCATCCAACATTTCTTGCATTCTTTGTTTATAGCTGCAACAATATAATATAGAAAATTTTATCATATTAAGATACTTACTTTAAATATATTGCATTTATAAATAATAATACACTTAATAAAAATACACTTACATTTCACTATCAGGATTATTTTCCTGATTTCTACATTTTTCTAATTTTTTTTCTAAAGCTCTTACCATTTCTCTTGAAGGAGGATCTACACATTTAGCCATAGATCTTATTTCTATAATAACTTTTCTAGTTAAAATACATTATTGAAATACCAATTAAATAACATAATAACAACATAAAAGATATATTTACTTCTTACTGCTTCTATTATACATCCCAAATGTTCTTTAGAGAACAAAATATCAGTCACATAATTATCTAAATTAGCAGATGCTCTGGATGCAGCATGTAATGTTGCAGCCAATGCAACTTGACTTGGAGTATATAGTAAAACGCTATCAGTTAAAAATACTCTTTCTAAAAATTCATCAATATATGGTCTTAACCTTTCTGGATTTTCCAAAGAATATACCTTGTCTAAAAAAATATTAATTAAGTTTGGCTGAATATCAGATTAACATTGATATAAAGGTATTTAAAATATACCTTGATATCTATCATTAAACCTTCTACTGGCCTGAATGGATTATGCACTGTTAAATTATAATTTAACTGTTGCATAAGAAGTAATTCATTATTAAGTATAATATCAGATGCTTTTTCTCTATCTCCTTTAATATTTGCAACAAATTGATATATGGAGACATTAAATTCTTCTACCTAAAATGAATTGCTATAGCAAACTATAGAAATTCAAAAAGTAATTATTTAAAAAAAAAAAAAATAATAATTACTTTACAAGCCAAGTAGACACATGTGACTAAAATCTCTTTGGGATGATAATCCATAACACTGTTTCTGAGATAGAATCTTTTGAAATAATGTAATGCAGTTGCTATAGTAGCACGTGGCATTGAAGGAGTAAAACGACGACAGAAATCTCTTAATTGTAATTCATAAAAACGAAGTAATATACGTTCTTCCGTATGGGAAAGAAAATGTTCTTCCCTTTCCCCTGGCTTTTCAAAATATATATTAACAGAATTTATTATATTAACTGTTATATTAACAGAAATATTAAACTCATGTATCTTATAATACTCGTTATAAAATAAATGATAAACGAATTAAAAAATAAATACATAGTAACATAAAAATAACAAAATAATACATACATATAATTATAGCTTATCAATAAAGACGAATAATTAAAAGTATAATGAATATTTACATAACCTATAAATTATAGAAACTAATTCAAAGATAACATTTTAAATTCAAAATTATTTATATTTTTATTGAAAAAGAAAATATAAAATTGCATTTTCAACTTACTGCTAAGAACAGCACAATGACTTACCGTCATGTTTGCACCATGTTTTTGAATAAATTCTGCGTTGGTTTTCTCTCTCAACGCTGTCAAATCATTTTCATCACTAAATATCCAGAACCTACTCTGTGAACTTTGAGGAAACATTTTTGTTTCGCTTTTGAAAAGTTTGAAAACCGACAATTCGTGATTTAATGGAGGAAATTCGTAATTGACGTATACACAATGAAGTAACGCGGTAAAACAATATATTAAATATTCAAGATGGCATACTTCTCTAATGTTTTGCCCAATGTACTAAAGAGGGCAGCAGTAGGTATGTTTCGCGCCATCTTCATGTCGATATGGTCACGTACTATGCAGTATATACGCTATATAACATTCTCGCAGGAAAAGTTTTGTTCACAAAGGAAGATATTTGGTTTATTTCAAATATAAGAAATGTATTTATATTTTTTTAAGTGAAAAAAGTAAAGATAATATTTTTTCGTAATAACATAAACAATAAAATGCAATAATCAACAAGTGTGCTACATTGTTACAATTGGTTTTCGTATACGACACTCATTACAAATGGTGAAGTATTTATACTGCAATTAAAAATAACAGGTAATAATTAAATTTCTTTTTCATACAATTATTGTTTGATTCATATTTATTCATTTTATTTCAAATGAAATTGAAGAATAAGAATATGTTGTTTTTAACCATTTTTATGGTATTATTGTTTAATCATAAATTATATCATAGGTTAAACATTGCGTAAGTACGTATATTACAAATTATTCATGGAATTCGTGTCATACTTGTTGATATTTTTATTATTAAAAAAGAATGTAGAAGTTCAATTTAATAAATACAGATAAAAAGTGTTATAGGGAGAAAGAAAAAAAAAATAAATATAACAAGCAAAATGGAATATGCACAGTCAATATAAACATCTGTATGAGCTTTCAGTATGATGTTTTGAAATGCCAGTGTTCAAGAAAGTTATGGTTTAAAGATACGAGTTGGTGAATACAACAGAGAAGTTTTCGGTAAAAAGGATCATATTTTCTGGTAACGTGATTGTACGTGCCAGTAATAAACAAGATCGGCGAAATGGTTGATAGAAGGTCAGAGGTGGGGGTCCAATTTTAATATGTACGCCCCCGCAAGCGGTTGCAACGTCGGATCTGAGGGGGCGTTCCTACGACCCTTTGTCAACCGACGACGCCGCTGCATCTTATCACGATCAAGGCTCGGGATCTCCCATTCTGCTCTTCCACCTCGTTCAGCCCTCGAGGCCATCCCGGTGCTGCCGCTTGTTCAAGCAAAGACGTTGCCTCGACGTCTCAGTGGCTATAACTTTTTACTTTTTGCACATTGATTTATGCTTCTTTATACTATGCGACGATACGTTGTCGTGTGGATCTCTTAAAATTTGAGCCAAGCATCTGCATCTCGTATCACGGTAATCTCAGATTCAAGATAAAACAATCTCTTGGAATTTCTATCTATTTAAATTAATTCTTACATAAATAACGAAATATGAAATCGCAGCTTACCACGCGTAATACATCTATTCGTATAAATTATAAACGGTTAATAATTAAAGGCAATTTTCAATTTGTTCGACCGATACGATGCCACTCGAGGAGTTTAATTTCCGACGAAATCCATGTCAAGAAATGATATGGCATCGAAAGTGAAGTACATCCGCCATTAATCTAATATTGCGGTTGCCGCCGCCCTCGACTTTGCGTGCTGCACCCTTCCGCGTCGAAGCTTGCTCCCTTCGTACAAATACAAACGTAACTATTGTGGACAATCACCTATACAAGAATGTTTGTACACCAAGATGTCTCGTATATGTACGTGAATACGAAGAAAAAGAGAGTTTCAATTTACTAGTAACGATAATGCAAAATCAATATTTGGTATGGTGTATGAGGTGTGACGAATAAAGTGGATTACAATCCCATCACATCTCAATGGTTCACCGCAATCAAAAAGAACTTTCTATCAAATTGCAATTGTCTCTTTTCTCAAATAGAATTTAGATGTTGTTGCATTGAACAATGGGTATGGATGAAAAAATATATATGCACATGTTTTTGTATGCGTGACCTAGTGTATCGCATGACCGTTAGCATTCCGTGGTATCGTCGTCGGTTAACCCGCAAAAAGCGGTATCACGCCTGCTTCTAACACTCCACGTCTGATCGGTCGGGTATCTTGCACGCAAGCCTTCGGCGATCGAAACCTTCTCGTGTATTGTTCGTCATGATGAACGTATTGTTTGCATATTATGTGAAATTAATGGTCACAACTCTTTCTTTTTCTCGCTTAAAACTGGCCATCATTAGGCCAGTAACAATATTTCAAAAATTATTATCCAATAACAGTGTTGAAGATAATCGATTTTTTCCATTAATTAGAAAGAGTGACACGTGTTTGAAATCCCGTCCCGTTATAAGAATATTTCTTAAAAGAAATTATTAATAAGAATTTTGATTCAAACGTGTATACACATAGTTTGTATACGTATAAATTTAAAGATACATAAAATCAATATATTTAGACTTGTTTAATTATCTAGAGCCTTAGATTCGTGTTAACAAACAATATATCATATGTCTTTTGTACACAATATGCATTATCTGCTATCAGATGTCTCGGATAATATGCGTTCACTAGTCTGTGAAATGATTATATATGTGTACCGTGTATACGAAACTAAATTTACCAAAGACGTTACGTAACAAATCATAAATCTCGTAGTCAGTGAGCGTACATAGTTAGAAAATCGTGGTACACTGACTCATTGCAATTGCTGAAGTATACATGTATATTCTGACATATGTGTCTGCTGTAAATATATTTGTGCAGCTCGCATACATACATACATACATAACGCAAATATTATAATACTATCTGTCTACGACTTTGTGCATCAACGTTATATTCATTGGCGATGTTCTGTC